CCGTACGTTGCGTGCCATTACACATTTCCACCAGAGAGGTCTCCAAATCCCCAAAACCTATATAGTGTAACTTTAACGTACATCGAAATTTAAGAGCGTTTTTCCTCCTCCTGTAAAGTTACCTTTTTGGAGTTTTTTTTTCAGACAGTAACATTTAATTACTTTAAATACAATCTTTAATGGAAATTATATGTTAAATAAAATAATAGAATAAAAATTGCTTATCATCTTTTGGTGATAAACTATTTCACATTTCGTTTTAAAAGATTTTACTCCAAACTTGTGTGTCTGTTAGATCCTGCTGAAGTTTATGGCTGTTTCTTCTCTTTAGATGAGGTGAACATTAAAACGACTTATGTGCTCATAACGCCCCCCTGCTGGAGAACCTTCAGACTCCTAGGCAAGAGTTCCACAAATTTTACATATAAAAAAGGAGCTTTCTGTCAATATAGCTGTGGAATTCAGTTTAAGACGCCTTTAGAAACCTTGACATATTAGATTTTAAAATATTTTTTAATATTTAATATATATTTTCAATGTTTTTTAAAATATTTAATATAATTCAATTAGTCCTCTAGTTGTCTCACAGTTATTATCGCCTTTCAAGAAACGCATTATTACGTTCATTCGACAGCATAAATAAAATGGAAAATGACCTTCCTTTCATTTTTCGTTTTCTGGCAGAGTGTATCCTGCATTATGGTCATAGTCCAAAACACAGAGTGTCTTCGCTCAGCATAAATATATAATTACAGGAAAATCAAGCTGCTTCAGATCTGAAAAATCCACAAGTGTTTCAGGTGTGAGTCCAGACCTCAACATCACTGAATGTGTTTGGGATTACTTGTATTACTTGTGAGATAGAGAAAATGCAAAGCCAACTTCTACCCAACTTCGTAGGTGTGGAAAAATATCCCTGCAGATTTCTTTGAGAAATTGAAAGTGAGTCTCTTAGAAAGAATAGAAGCTGTAACAAAGATAAAGAGTGGACACAACAAATACTGAAAGTATATGTAGTTGTAATTTTCTGTTAAATATGTTTTCTGCTTTTTTCCAGACACTGAAAAATGAATAACTTGTACTTAATAGCTCTTTTGACTGTAAATTAAATAAATGTAGATTACTTGTACTTTTGCCCATTTTTAGAGATAACTGTGTGTCATACAGCATCATAAACTACACAACCAAGTCAAAGATTACTCAACCACTCAACACTGTTTGAGGCAAAAGTATGCACAGTGCTAGCTGACGGAGTATAAGCTTACATTACTTGTTAAGTAAAATAAGGAAACTTTAGACACAAAACACGGCCAACTACAATTGGGAAACTGTGTGTAGCCTAAACGACATTTTTTCACCAAATTATTGTCTTTATGTAAACGCATGCATATCTTCGCGTGCACATACTGCCAACATGAAAAGTCGCCTCTTGGATCCGTTTCCATGCAGCCTGCTGCCAAGCAGCGCAGCAGCCTTATGTTTTGTGATATGAGCTAAAAATAAAGGCAACCTTCTCACTGTATAATTCAAAAGCCTAGCACATAGGAGCTATGTTAAAGAAGTGTGAAACGAAGGCCACGCAGCTGAATATTCAAGAGTCTTTCTCCACTTGGTCTTGGAAACAGAGCACCGTAAGACATACAGGCACTTCCCGCCTTACAAGCTGTTTATTGATTTTCACTTTGAGCTTGATCGCAATCTGGCACCTTCTCAGCCAGCGGTTACCACGACCTTCGTATCGCAGAAGGTCAGCTGTGGGCAGAAACACACAAACGGTGACAGCGGCTGTGGTGTGAAGGTGTATGGTAAGACCATCACCAAACTCGACCTGCCTAATCTGACCACTGGAATCCTTCTCTGACACATCTCAGAGCTACAGCACAATAATGGGTTCACTGTTAAAACACTTTCTTCTAGATTTTGTTTTAAAAGAAGAGATCAGTGAAAACTTGCGCAGTGATCCATTTAGCCCAGATTCGCAGTTTATTGTTTTTCAATTTGATTCAAAACTTGTGGGAATTATTTGGTTCGGCAACTTGACTTAGCGATTCAAGCACCATATCCTGCATTTTCTTGTATTTCATGTTCTCCAGAGGGCCATTTGTGTGATTTTATGCACTAAAAATAGTCAAAATTAATTTTTACATGCTTATCGTAACTTCAGCATGAATGGGCGGGGCTAAACTGCTTTAGGCTGAATAGCACGATATAAGTAGATGTCTTCGTGCTTTAATTGATAAATACATTTGTTAAAGCAGAATTTAAATGAAATTTATGACAGCTGATTATTTTACTACAGCATATTATTTTAGATTGTTTTATATTTTATTTATGTGTGATTTAGTGATGGCCATTATTGCCACTACACGGTAACCAGCTCTGACCTCTCAGGCTTTATTCTGTACTTTGAGTGATAATGGGCCAGTTTGGGTCAGTTTCGTACAGAATTGCACTGTACTCAGACCAGTTTCGGACAGAACTTCACCAACTCAGGTCAGTTTCAGACAGAATTTTACTGGACTCTGGCCAGTTTCGGGCAGAATATCATGGTAATCAGAATTCTAATCTGAGAGTTCTCGCTGAGGTCACATAGTGATGAATCGGATATGTATCCGATCTAGGAAAAACATATTAAAAAGTGGCTCAGTTTGGAAAAAAGATCAGATTTGTGTCACAATCGGAAAAAAAATCACATTTGTGCCACTTTCACCCGTAATGTGAACATAACCTAAAGCCCTAATAGTCAATGCATGCTGACCACATACTGGCCAGCTGGACTATTGAGTCGTTCTGATCCAGTATGACCCTAGCATGCACTAAAAGCTTTGGTCAGCGGTTGTCCTGCACTGGGAGTGTTTCCTGCGGCGACTCTGTGAATAGGCGGGTACACTCAAACCTCCCCAAACACCCCCCACTCCCAACACCCCCCACCCACTGCTGCTTCTCAACTGCTTCATGGCACATCTTCACTGCATTATGTAATCTGTTTAGCACTGTTTAGGAAAGCAGTTTAGAAACTGCTGCTCAATCTCTCTCTCTCTCTCTCTCTCTCTCTCTCTCTCTCTCTTATATTCATACATTATTCTGCACTTGTGCGCTCCTTTCACTTCTCTCTCTCGCTCCCTCTCTATCTCTCTCTATTCTTTCATAAACATACATAATTTTGCTCCTTTCACTTTGTACGCCTCTCTTTTTTTTCTCTCACAGTTCGGCATCCGTCTCTCTCTCTCGCTCCCTCTCATTATTCGGCATTTCTCCGCTCCTCTATCGCTCGCTCGCTCTCTCTCTTTCACAGTTCCACATCCACTTCTCTTTGTCCCTCTCTCTCGCTCGCTCTCTGCTATGTAGACTAAATAGGACTCTGTCCATCATCTTACAGCAGTAGCCCAGCCACAAAAGCGCCTTGGTACAGACTTATGCCCCCCTGCTTCAGTCATAAACAGGCTGAGCCGGTCAGAGTCATTCTGTTTCGCTGCAGTGGAAACTTCCCTTCTGTAGTACTAAGCATAAAGCCATCACACCAATTCAGATTCAAACGTATGCACTAGGGATGCACAGTGATATCGGAATCATATTGGTATTGGCAGAAAATTGCTTAAAAAATATCAGCATCAGACAGGTTATTAGATTTGACTGATATTTCAGACTGATAATTGATGCCGTATCAGGTTACTGCACTAAAATAGCTCATTTTATTCACTTTACTGCATTTCTAACTCCATACTGCTTCTTGTAACCCTATATTAATAAACATATTCCAGGTAGATGAAACCACAATTTCTACATTTTAGTACAGAGATGTACATTAAAGTCATTGTGAGCCCTCAATTCCCCTATCAGTGCACCCCTAATACACATACATTTCTACACATATACATACACCAATCAACCACAGCATTAAAACTACCTCCTTGTTTCTATACTCATTGTCCATTTTATCAGCTCCACTTATCATATAGGAGCACTTTATAGTTCAACAATTACAGACTGTAGTCCATCTGTTTCTCTGCATACTTTATTAGCCTCCTTTCACCCTGTTCTTTAATGGTCAGGACCACCACAGGACCACCACATAGGTATTATTTGGGTGGGGGATCGTTCTCAGCATGGTGGTGGTGTGTTAGTGTGTGTAGCGCTGCCTTGAGTGGATCAGACACAGCAGTGCTCAGTGTCACTGCTGGACTGAGAATCGTCCACCAACCGAAACTATCCAGCCAACAGCGTCCTGTGGGCAGCGTCCTGTGACCACTGATGAAGCACTAGAGGATGACCAACACAAACTGTGCAGCAGCAGATGAGCTATCGTCTCTGTCTTTACATCTACAAGGTGGACCGACAAGGTAGGAGTGTCTAATAGAGTGGACAGTGAGTGGACACAGTGTTTAAGAACTCCAGCTGTGTCTGATCCACTTGTACCAGCGCAACACATACTAACACGCCACCACCACGTCAGTGTCACTGCAGTGCTGAGAATGATCCACCACCCAAACAACACCTGGTCCTGTGGGGGACCATGGAAGAACAGGGTGAAAGGGGGATAACAAAGCATGCAGAGATAAAGATGGACTACAGTCTGTAATTGTAGAGCTACAGGCTGCTCCAATATGGTCAGTGGAGCTGATGGTGTACAGAGTCTAGAGCAGTTAATCTAATAAGGTATACAGTAGCAAAATAGCAGTAAAAATCCACACACCGAAGTTCATTAAAACTTTGTGCAAACTCCTGCACAACGTAAGCTAGATCTTTTCTATCTTTTCCATTCATTCCATCCCACTTTTCTGTGCTCTCCTCCCAGAGGAAACCGACAGAAAAGCCGAGAACACAGCCACCATCCTTTCTCCTGAACCACAACAAGCTGAAGCTAACATTAAACCGCACAATGAACCAGAAGAGTCAACAGAGTTGACAGCAGCCCACAGTCAGAGAGGAGGACGGTTTCGTTGCCAAGCAAAGCGCAGCCCTTCTTCACTTTCCTCTGAGCGCAATTTAGCCACACCAACCTTCTTCAGTGCTGACATGATAGGTCATTCCTGTCCAGAGAGCTCCTGTTCTACATGCTGAAGATCCCTGTGAAGTTTCCACTGTCTCTATGAGCGCGTGTGCGCGCGCGCGTGTGCTCGTAACTGATGCTCATCCACTGTCTCACCGAAATTCGCAGCTGTACAGCGGCTCTGCTCCACGCATGCGCAGTGAGGCGCGGCCGGGCGGGCGGCCCGCAGCCTCCGCCATCTTAGTAAGGTCTCTTTCAGCTACTTAGCGGCGTTTACAGCGTTGTGGGCTTTTTTTCTGTATTGCCACTAATAATATTTGCCTATTTTAACCCTTTTTATGTATGGCTTGTCAGTGAATGAAGCATTTCAGGGGTTTTTATAACCGTATTTTGTCCCTCTTCCTCGTTAGGGTTGTTAGCCTGCTGGCTTCTTGCTATTTAGTTAGCTGGCTAGTTAGCTGTGAGCTAAATAAAACGAGAATGGCAATTCCCGCAAAATGTGCTCAATGAGTTAAGTCGAAGAAGAAGCACAGAGTAAATTCAGCTGGCAAAATGTCGCTTAGAAAAGACGGTAAGAATTAATTCCTTCTTATTCGCCCGGTTCTTATTCGACTTTTCCCGTTCCACCTTAAATGGTGCAGCGGCTGCATTCTGGCAGCTGAGCCTGCGGTGCTAGAATGCGAATGCTGCACCATTTAAGGTGGAACGGGTAAAGTCGACCAAAAAGCTGACGAATAGTAAGCCAACTTAGCCTTGCTTCAGGAGTGTCCTCCTTATTAGCTCGTTGTACACATAAATACCCCACTCTACTCGTTCTAAACGTTTTAATGAGTTTTTTAGTTGTTCCCGCTCTCGCGTAGTCATCTTATAGTGCTGGTTACGTCATCTACTCTTTGTCCTTATTAAATGTTTGTGAGACAGTTGTGGGTTTGTTTTATTGCACATTCAGCATCTCTTGCATCTCCTCTCTTGTCAGTTTTCCAAGCGAAGGTGCTTCAGAGACTCTACCCTGCTGCCCCAAAGGCGAAAGAAATGCTGGACTCTGCTGTCCACCGCCCTAAACCAGCTTCAGCTCCTAGAAGAGTTAAAGTGAAGCCTAATAAAGAGACTGGTAAGCCTACATAGTGCAGTATGTTTAAAGAGGAATTCCATTGCCTTCCATTCCATCCCTCAAGATTTCTACATAATTAAGTCATTAAGATGTAAAGAAATTAATTCAGAATGGTTTGAGGTGATATGGTCCATCCTAGAGAGAGTCAGAATTGTTCAGAGTGGTGATGATAGGAACCAGACGTCCATAGAGTTCAAAGGGCCTCATTCTACAAAATTTTCCTGAGTTTTTTCTTAAATATGTTCTTCAGAAAGGTACTAAGAAAAAGTCTACATCAGATTCATGCTGTCTTCTTAAACTGCAGAATGGTCAAATCTTTGATGCTCTTGAGTGTGTGTGGATTTTGTTCTTACCCAAGAACAAATCCCCAATAAGAAAACACTGGTGAATGTCAGAATCTTTGTGAAAACTGTGTAAGTGGGTTTAAGGAAGAAATTTCTTCCTAAGAGTGGCTGGTGAATGAGGCCCAATGCCTCTAAAAGATCCCTCACAGAAAGTAATTACAAGAATAAGGCAAAATAGTCCCAGAAGAAACCGTATTATTCAGATTTACCTCTATTTTACCATTATCAATATTAGAAATAAAATCCCTAAGAAGAAACGTGTAGGTTAATTTGTGGCTTTGGGAAGTAAATAAAATGGCCATATTTGCGTTGTAGACACTGACTTGTGCGTGAGTGCCAGTGATTTCTCAACTTTCCAATTTTCTGGTTCCCATCACCACCACTGTAAAGAAATCCGATTCAGCAAGTTTCTCCATAATTAACTATTTCACATCAAACCATTCCAAGTGATGAATCATTGAACTATGTAGAAAACTTTAAAAAATCGTTGACATTCACCTTTAACCTCTTATTCTCCAGGGAATATTTCGGTTTGTCCATCTGAATTTACATGACCAAATCATAAGACAAATTATTCAGTAACTGCATGAAATAAATGTAAATTTTTATTTTGTAAAAGCTCCCCTCAAATTAACAGAAAATGTGTTTTATGATCACACATATTGCTATATGCTTACAATTTACTCCTGAAAGCCAAAAATCTTAGATGCTCTTTGTATTTTTTTATAAAAATAATTTTTACAGAGCAGATCACTGAAGAGACGCCATCTGTTTATAGTTTATAGCACAGATTTGTGGAAAAATGGGTCGACTTTCAGTAGACAAAAAAAAATGTGAGTTCAGCTTCTTCTATTATAAAGTTTACATTACCTTACATTACCTAATTACATTACCCATCTTTTTGACTGGAAAGAAGACAGTTACAGCTCTCACATGACACCCACCTTTTGAATGTAGCTTATGAAATATGAAAGTTATGAAGAATATGACGAAGTGCGTTTTGGAACCACCGGTGGTCCCAAGCCAGGGGTGTACATCTCTGACGTCACAATAATTCAGTTATGATTCTTTGAGAAATGATATTGTGCATCTTGAAATCATAGTTTTCACCATCATTCAATTCAATAAATTTGGTAAGATTCAGAATTATTTGCAAAAATTCACAAATATGGCTGGACAATTTGCTATAAATAGAGTATCAATAGTAAAAACAAAGATCATGTGCTATGATCTGTTATATTTCACTAAAACCAGTCCATCATTTCACTTTTGGTCTGAAATCTTTAAATGGAATCTGAATTTAGTTGTTGTTTTGTTTTTATTTGTTAATATATTGAAAATAGATTTGAAGCATTTCTAACATTTCCGAATAGATGCAGCTGAATTGTCCCCTTCAGGTTGATACATTTTTCAACCCCAAGTAAATGCATATTTGTTCATTCCCAGTAGTGATAAAGTCATTTTAAGGCAGCACATTTAAATGCACATTTACTGTTTATTTGCTGAATGTAACATCATAAATTTTATTAGATAAGTAAATTTATTAGCAAGTAAATAGAATTGCACTAAAATCTGTGCAAAAATCAATCTTATACAGTTTTCGCAGTCATTTTAGAATCACCTATGTCTCCGTTCATTGTTGTGGACTTTAGAGCTTCTTGCTCTCCTACTAATTATTTGAAAGCTAAGAAATTTCACAGGATTAAAGACAATTTATGCTTCTGCATCAAATCAACACAGAGTCTATGCCTTAGCTTACACAAGTGGCCTACGCTGCTGTGAGTGTTTATACTTGTGTGTTGATGTGTCTGCATCGCTCTGCAATTACACCAGTTCTATTCTTCATCTTTCTGTCACTTTAATGCCGGACATTTGAATTTGTGCTCTCAGTCTTTAACCTCTTAGCTGGAACTGATCCTGTACTGTGGTGTGAGGCTCAGTACACTCGCGATAGCCTAGCAGGCATCAGCATAAAACAGTACAGAACACGTTCAGTTGACTCACCTCTCCCTGTTATAAGTTTTTATGGTCTTGACTTGTGATTGCAGAGCACCAGTTAGTCGGTTAATAGGCCTTGTATATTAGAATATATGTTTTATACATTTAGCTGAAACCAAATTGGTTATGTTATTATTTTATGTCTTATTTTTTTCCAATATGTGAAGCTCAGCAAATAAATAGAAATGGTGCACTAAATTTTGTAGAAAAATGGCACATTTAATTTTCACTTAGAAAATCAATAAAACATCATTTGATCAGGAGCGTTCAAGATTTTGTATATGACTATGTTTTTTCTCTGTTTGTCCCTCAGGTAGCGCTGGAGTGAGTGATTTAGTAGGCAAGAAAGTGTACACTGTTCTCCCTCCTCCAGAAGACTACAGGCTTACCGGTGGAGATGAAAACCCAGAACCCATCAGTGCTGCAGACGGGACGGCCGGTAAGAGGGCTCTAATCTTGCATTTAGAGGCTGGGAGAGAAGCAGGAACAGGCACGCACCGCATGTAATTTATTACTCCCCCCCCACACCAATACAGATCTGGGCCACCGCTCGGAAACTCTCCATCGCTCTTTTGCTTCATTCCCTCTCTCATTCCCTCAGTTCACCTGGGTGCTGCAGCGGAGAAGCCATCTCCCAGATTGTGTCCTTAAGTGCTAAAGCGTTTACGGAGAGAGGTTGATTTGAGCGCCTGAGACTAGAAGCCACCGCAGTGCAGACCCAGACAATCTATTAGTAGAGACCTATTGATTGTTATGATCTACTGGAGTCGATAAAACGTTATTCATATCAGAGCTGGAGCCATGTAGAGGTCGTACTTAATCAGTGTTTGTTTTTTGGCAGGATTTGCGGATGTAATTTACACCTCGCAGCTTGTACTGCATGTATTAGACTTAGAGTAGGCGCGCTGATATAAGATTAGTGGTTGCTTTCTGTATCCTAATTTGTGTGATTAGAGACGAGGCACGTGGGAGGGGAATATTAACCCCTTAAACTACAGGCTTATTATTCATTTATTGCTATTACAACATATTATTATGTTGGAAATAGTATGTAGTTTTAAGTGTAGAATTGAAAACACATACTACGTATTGAGTCTCTTCGATTATAAAGTGTTAAAGGGGAATTCCACCAATTTTCCAAAGTTTCTGTGTAATTAAATAGTTAAGACGTAAACAAAGTGATTCAGAGTGGTCTGATTGTAAGACTTTTGCACAATGCTTTAGAAATTCACTATAGTGTGGGAGTAATTAATGAAGAACCTCAAATAACTAGTAGGTTAATAAGCGCTGAAGCATTAATTAAATGGGAATTCCACCAATTTTTCAAACTCTCTGTGTAATTCATTTGTTAAAATGTAAACAAAGAGTGGTTTGGCATGAAATGCTTCAGTCTAGAGAGTCATAATCTTTCACAGTAGTGGGGATAGAAACCGGACGTCTGAAGAGTTTAATACTTCTAAAAGCTACATCACAGAAAGTTACAAGAAATACTAACAAATAGATTTCCTGATGTCTGAGAAACTGTTTTACTATACTTTTGAGATATGATGTTAGTGTAAAACATATTTTAAAAGCTATTTATTGTGAACGGGGTAAATGCAAGGCATGTTAAGGCATAATAGAACCAAATTAATTTTTTACTTATCACTAGTTTGGCATCATCAACATAACATATGAAAACACAGAAGACACATATAGGTTCACTGGTCATTTTGAATAGTAAATTAAGTGGCTATATTTGCATTGTAGACATTGTGAGCCTTGGTTCATATCACCTCCACTGAAATCTGAGTCAGTAACTTTAAGCAGTTTCACATCAAACCTAATCTGAATGGTTTTATGTACATCTCAGCAACCGAATTATGCAGAAAATTTGAAAAATTGGTGGAATTCCCCTTCAAAATCCTATATGATTGACTGAGATGTGTGCTCTAATTCATTGTTACGGGTAGTGTGGCTTTTTGCTTAGGCAAATTAACAAATATTCTTGTTCAGCGGAGCAGGTGATTAGGCTGCACTCCTGTAAACAAACACTTGCAATTAGCAACTCAAGCTTGGAGCAATTTAGGCTGATCACTCAGTCTCCCACATTAATGCTGTTCATACAGACACCGGTGCCATCTTATTTCTTGTAAGCTGTAGTGTGCATACACCTCCCTCCTCCCCTTCACTTTTAGAATGAGAATCATTTTGTTGGCCAAGTATGCTTGTCTTAGTGGAGCTGGTGTGAACATACATGGAAAATACAGAACGTAAAGGGTAAACAAATAAGATACTAAATACAAAGTCAAAGTTGATTATAGAATATTCAGTATGCACAGTAAATAAAGGAAATGTACAAGGTATTTTTAACCATATATGTCAAGTTGGATATGACTGAAATAGATGCAAATATTCAAAGAATATCACAATTCACACCACAGTTTACAAGTTTGGAATCAGTTTTTATCAGGGATGAACAAAGGTATCAGAATCATATCAGTATCGGCAGATAATTGCTTTACAAAATGATCAGCATCAGACAGATGTTTAGATTTGGCAAATATTTCAAACCAGTATTTCATAAATGTAATGCTTATCCAAATAGATTTAGTCTGAATTACAAATTTTATAAATGTTTATGTATCAGCATCGGCGATGGTAGACTGGCATTGACCTACAATTCCCGTATTAGTACATATCTGCCGATGCAGGTACAATCTATATTAATAATTTTTGTCATTTTATATGCAACAATAACTTTTATTGTGTTAATTTCAGTATTATACACTAGACACCAGGTGTTTTTAGCCAATATTTCAAGTATTTGGAGTTAGTATATACTGTAAATTATGTAGTGCAGTATGGTGTCTTTTCAAATATGAATCATTCTTCATATCTCAATTTCATCTTACATTTGCATTTACATTTACAGCACTTAGCAGACGCTGTTATCCAGAGCGACCTACAAAAAGTGCTTTGTCTATGTAGAAAGTATCTTTGCTTGTTACAAATAGGTTGGAGTAAAGCTGGTGCTGAGCTCAGATACTGCTAGAAACAAAAGCCCATGTTGATACCCAGAGAAAAAGGAACAGAGTTAAACACAGTGCAGTGCAATACATTTCAATAAGTGCAGTACAATACATTACAATAAATACTTAGCTCAGTGCTCACTTAAGTGCTGTATAAAGAGATGTGTCTTCAGTCTGCGTTTGAAGACCGCGAGAGACTCTGCTGTTCGGACAGCCAGTGGGAGTTCGTTCCACGACCTTAGTGCCAGTACAGAGAAGAGTTTTGATGCTCGTCTTCTACGCGTCTTGAAGGATGGCGGGTCAAGCTGAGCTGTACTTGAAGCTCACAGGGTTGGAGGTACAGTTCGAGTTTTGACCGTTGCCATTAGGTCGGGAGGGGCTGGTCCATTTTTGGCTTTGCAGGCATCAGGGTTTTAAATCTGATGCGTGCAGCTACAGGAAGCCAGTGAAGGGAGCGCAGCAATGGAGTGACGTGACTAAACTTAGGAAGATTGAAGACGAGCCATGCTGCTGCATTCTGGATGATCTCATCTTATACAGCTTTGTCAGTAATTTTAGAGTCACTTCTTAAAAGCTTCCTGCCATCCTACAAATTATTTGAAAGCTACGGAACCAGGACTCGTTTATTAGAATCATTGTAAACATTTATATGAAACACAATAGGTTTTGTGTTATTGAAAGCATTGATTCCAAACTTTTGAACAGTGTAGTGTACTTATCCCAAACATGTAAATTAAATAGTGTTGTTATGCTGGGTACTGGAGCTTCGAAGCATGTGTCGAGAAGGTTCAGCTGAAGCTCGTATCGATGCTCATGTTGTCAAAATACAGAAAGTTAGGCAGAAAACTGCATCTTATCTCTATGAATATTAGGCTTTGACCTTTTTGTATTATTTAAAAGTTCATGTCTCGGCTGAACTACAAACGTGATACACTTTCAGAATCCTTTATTGGACATTTCTTACATCAGCCGTTTATTTCTTATTGGCTGTTTGTGGTCCACGGTTTTATACATGCAGTTTGGTCATATAAAGTAGTCTTACATGGTGCACAAGCCTATATATGTTTTGACCACTAGGGGCCTCTAGTAGATACTTGAAGCCTTGAGAAAATTGCCATTCTTCAGCACATTTGGCAGGAAAGCTTTAACGCTTCATTACGCTTTGTCTCTCAAAAATTAAACATATCCACAGTATGTACAGCTAAAAGTATGTAGTATTTACAACACTCGTACATAAGATTGGATATGATGGTATAGGTGCAAAGAAGGGATATCAGAATCTTCTCCTTATCTTCAAATATTTATTCCAAAATATATCAGCGTTGGACAGATGTTAAAACTTTGATGAGTTTATGTGAGCTCTGCAGGTTATGGAACTAAATGCACGCACAAACCAAATAATTTATTTAGTTTATTGAAATTATTTGTAGTTTCTTTGTGCAGGTATTTCATAGATGTTTGACATACTAAAAATTATGAAAAAGCTTTTGGTCCTTTGTAGCAGTGATAAACATATTTATTTAAAGGATGGACATTGCCATTCAGCCACAACATAAATACTTATCTGCAAATGCGTATTAATGATGCAAGTTAATCATGTTAGTTAAATGCTGTACTATTTTGTATTATGGTTAAAAAGACATTTTGACTGTTTTTCAGTACTTCTTGGGCTGTTTTTCATGCATTTTGGCAGGTTTTGAACTTTTTTGTGTTTGGAATCTATAGAAGTAATTTGGCAACCCCAGCTCCTTTATCCTGGACTCGGACAGGTCTTGGATGGATGGCAGGCTATACTCAGTCTTTCCACACAAAAGATCTTTAGTTGGTAGAGATTGATCAAATTGCCCATTTAGTCATATTAGTCTACATTTTCCTTCATTGTTAGTGAGTGATGGTGAAACACTGCATGTACTGTTACAGTTTGAGCCTCACGTCTTCTACATTTACTACCGCTCCCTTCTGATCCCATGTTTAATTAACTCAGGAAATATCTAAATGAAACGAACATGAATTTTACATTAAGTACTCCTCAGCTGTGTGGCAGCAACGCACAAGTGATCACATGACTCCATGACTCACGAGTGACTGGGAAGTGCACAGTCAGGGCATTAAAAATGCTGTTTCCCTCATAGGCAAGATCTAATTTTATCAAACCGGATATTCTCTCCTTTCATTTTTCATTCTTCGTCATTCTCCTAAAAGCTTCTTTCTCATTCTTTATTTATAGCTTGTGCCTCATTACTCCCGTCTTTAGTGCGCTTTAGTAAGTATTCAGAAACACAGGTCCTTTATTTGTCCTGGTTATGGCTTTACGTTGTAACATGATGGCTGATGGTATGATGGAATGTCACAGCCAGAGCCTTTATTTGCTCACTAGAAGATTAACAAGGATATTATTTGGTTTGGTGTCAACATAATTGCCATATAT